CACACTTAATGGGTGTGTGTGCGGGTCAAGCACAGCTCAACCTCTCAAACTCTGTAAATAGACTGGTCTCTGCCACCGGCATTTCCTGTTCCACACTGATTTCCACAAGCTACTTCCTCTTCACCGTGTCAACTTTTAGACACCTAGCTTCCCAAAGATAGGACATCATGTCAAGGGATGGAACACAATCCAATATTGAAATATGTGAACCATGGCAAGGTAGGAGTTTGCACAATGTCAAACAGATGTCAAGTTTCTCTATTTCTCTAAAAAAAATTTAACTGTGTCGTGGTGCTCCTTGTGAATTTGTTGTGATGGCTCACTTCCAGACCACCTCCGTGCAGTTCAAGGCAAAGCATCAGGACAATGAAACCCTAGACACCTTGAAGTGAACTGATGTGCAGGGGTTTATAATGGCGGGACATCCATGGCTCTGTAAAACTATAATAAGTCTGAAAGTCCAGCACTCAAGAGCCTGTTTCTTTCTCCTTGGGCACTTCAGACAATGTCCTCAGAAGCATTTGGAAAATTCTGGTGGGCTGTACCAAGGGTAACCACAGAACTGACTGGTGAAGGAGCTAGCCGGTAGAATGTAAGCTCCAAGAGGCCGGAGAGTTTTGTGTTCTCGGTATGGAGAAGAGTGCCTGGGATGTAATTGGGCCTTAATAAATATTTAAATTAACAAATGGAAAAAAAGAGGACCATTTTGAATTCTTAGTGTTTTTAATAGAACTGTAGGGTTGGCTTGGGTTTCACACTTTTCTCTGTTCTCTCAACAAGGTCAGTGACCTTCCAAATGAACCATAAGTCATAATGCAGTTGTAGAATATACAAGGTCTGTCCAGAAAAAGCCCAGCCATTGTTAATATAAAGAGAATGGTTTGCTCAACGTCGATGAACCTGGCAGCAAAGGAGGATGGACTTGAACAACGATGACTTCACCGAACTAGTCAGTGGGGGTGGTAGACACCGTTGAGTAAGTATGTGTACGTGTGGCCGTCACATTCAAAGTGACCAAGTGAATAGAGCAACAAATCTGCATCAAATTTTGCATTAAACCTGAATGTTCCTCCACAGAGACTATTTGGCTGACTCAGAAGTCTGGAGCTCTGGGCAACTGGTGATTGGCAGCTTCAGTGTGACAACACGCCTGCTCACACATTGCATCTCATGCAGAGTTTTTTGGTGAAACATCAAATCACCTAGGGGACTCAGCCCTCCTGCAGCCCAGATTTGGCACCCTGCTACTTCTGGCTTTTCCCCAAACTAAAATCACCTTTGAAAGGGAAGAGATTTCAGACCATCAATGAGATTCAGGAAAATACAATAGGGCAGTTGGTGGTGATTGGGAGAACTGTGTGAGGTCCCAAGGTGCCTGCCTACTTTGAAGGGCACAGGCACCATTGTCTTATGTACAATGTTTCTTGTATCTTATATCTTCTTCAGTAAATATCTTATTTTTCACATTACATGGCTGGATACCTTTTGGACGGACTTCGTATATGTAGAAGTGCCTAGTACACAGAGGTGCTCAGTAAATGGTTAATTTAACATTTCATAGGGAGGCAAAGTTGGGTAGCGGGAAGAATATAAAATTTAGAGTAGGACTAACCTGGATTTGAATTGACTTTTGAATTTGAACGAACAATCACCAAATTTCTTTGGGTCTCCGTGTTTTCATATGTAATATGGGAATAACATAATATACAAGGTTGTTGTTACAAGGACTTAATGAGAAAATGTATGTAAGGCACTTAATGCAATGCCTGGAACAAGGAAGTGTAGGCAGAACTATTATCCTAATATTTAATTTTCTCTTTATTTGGCTTATCTCATTCCTCTGAAGGCAAGTTTCAGGACATATGAGTAGACCATACATTATTACACCAAGCACAGGCTTCCTCAGCACCTTTGCGCTGGCCTGGAATGCTGCTCCCACAGTTGTCTGCTTCCTCCCAGTGAGTCTGCTCGGATTCACCTTCCTATTGAGGCCTCCACGGAATGCCCTACTCATAAGTGCACACCTCCATCTCCCTTAATACCCTAACACCTGTCACCTTTCCACATACTGCTTTCGGTGTCCTTTATTTTCATTGTGCCCTCACAAGAGTATGAACGACAGGAACAGGGATGTTTATTTGTTTTGTTCATCAATGCCGCCACGTCTAGGTCAGGGCCTGACATAGGTTAGGCACTCAGTATTTGTAAAAATGGGATTTGAATATATTCTTACTGAATTTTATACTTTTTAGCTTGGGCCCATTATTTAGTTTGTCAGCATGGTTCTGAGAAATGATTACCTGCCTTTACGCTGAATCTCCAGGTGTGGCCCATCATCCCCACTCCATGCGAGCAGCCCGCACGAGGCAGAACTCCAGGCAGCCAGCCCAGTCCCATTTCTAGCTGTGAGAACTGTGCCAATCCACTTAGCCCTTCTGTGTCTCACTTACATCATCTACAAATGGGGATAAAAACCATCCCTACTCCATAAAAGTCTTTTGAAGATCCAATGACTTAATGTGCATGAAGTGCCTACAAGTGCCTGGCACATATTCAATAAATACTAGCTACTGTGATTCTACGTACAGACGAGGCCAGGACCCTCCCCTTTAGTCTTGCTCGGCATCTCTATCCTCCCCTGCTTGGGCTGCATCCTCTCCCGAGTGACCTGTTATCTCCCACTTCTTACCCATCCTGTCTGAAAGGGATGAGGTCTCTCCAGCTTCGACTCCATTTCTTCTACTAACTTTTTAAAAAGCATTTGCCATTAGGCCCAAAATGCCTTTAAAAGCTCCAGGTAACTCCCTGATTAACATGTGCCACTAAAGTTTTCATGTTTTAACTACGTGATTCTAAGATAAATCCTTGTGGGAACAACGGGGCAATTTTCTCACAAGTTGCTACACTTGACCTTAATCCAGAAGTACAGGCAAACCTCATTTTTCGACTGTCTTGGTTCTCAGACAATTTGGTTCTCAACCAGGTTGTTCATGGAAAAAATGTCTCTGTTGTTTAACAAAACTTCAGGTCTCGATTCTCTCCCTGACAACCCTTTCATGCTGATACCCGTGTGATCACTCGCGCATCTCTCAGGTGCGAACGAAACAAAGGAGATTTGGTTTTTGAACAAATCACTTCTCGAACAGTTAGAATTAATTTCAAGGACAAAGGTTCCATTGTATTTTAATGTTGCCATGTTCACCAATAACTTACCCCATCTCATTTATTTTTTCCCACATGTAGCTTCTTTAACATCTTGGGTTGTAGTATTTTAAAGAGAAAATAATTCAGGTCTTCTAAAACAATTTTTTCCTGAACCTAATTTAGAAATTTTGTAACATGTATATGCTTCCTGAGCTTCCTTCTGAGGTCAGAGGAGAAGAAAATATCCTCTTCCTTGGGAGAGCGATACTATCCTCCCTTGGGCCATGAAGTCTGCCTGACCTCATGCCACCAGTCTCAGAAAAAGGAGGCTACCAGAGACCTTGGCAAACAGTAGAGAGGTAAAAAGTCCAAAGGATTAAATTTCCAAGTCCCAAAATAACCCCTAAGTACTGCTGCCACCTCCAAATCAGGCCCTGCACGCTTCTTCATGCTGGCTGAGTGCCACTCTCTGGCTCCATCCCAGGAAGCCCCGTGAGCTGTGGGTGACCCTCTGTCTCCACAGAACAGCACCCTACAGAATGTAGGGAGTGCAATGAATTAGAGGTGGATGTGCAAGGTGCATTTTGTCTCTTCTTACAGTATTACCACTCCTTCTTTAATGTACTCTCTTCCCTCTTCTCCTCCACCTGCCTCTAGTTTCCTGGAAGCCCGCAGGACCGTGTTTCACAAAACTCAGTGAGCACCATTGTCACGATCTTTCTGCCCCCATGCTCAAATTCCACCTGCACTGTTTAAGTTAGCTCACTTTTCACTTAAATTTTTAAAGACTACTTATTAATGTGTGCTTTGAATTTAAAACCAGTTTCACTTGCCATAAAAAGAAGACTCACATATAATTAAAAAGTGTATAGTAATGGAATTTGAGTTGGATAGGATTGCTTGCTGCCAGCCTTGTGCCCTGAGTCCTGCTCTGCTAGGTTAAAGAACGGCGAAGAACTGTTGAGGACATGCCAGCATCAGTGAGACCTGCTCCTTGAAATAGACTTGTAGGGGTGTCCGTCCAACCTGGGACCCCCAGGGTCACATGCAGCCCAGGATGGCTGTGAATGCAGCCCAATACAAAATCGTGAATTTACCTGAAACATTATGAATTTTTTTGTGATTACGTGTCACAGTATATTTGATGTGTGGCCCAAAACAACTCTTCTTCTTCCTGGGTGGCCCAGAGATGCCAAAAGGTTGGACACCCTGAATAATAGAGACTGGAAAGAGGACCAACAAGAAAACAGTTTTCTCATCTTATTGTTGATGTGTGTGCACATCAACAAATACCGTGTGTGCATATAACTTAAGCATTTCCCACTTTGGGATATGCTACTCTGCGTTTTACACTTACAAAAGGTTAAGTTTGTCGAACTCTGACAGACGCCATCCAGCCATTTCCTTCAAGCTCTCAGTACTCTATTTACTACCTATACTCAAAAACTTTCTGCACATTTTTCCTCATAATTTTCGCACAGCTTTGACCAACTACCACAGACAATATTCCGGATATAAGCCTCTCTCCAGTGGGTTACAAAACTTGGCGAGTGAATGGGTGTTTGGATACCACCAAGCCCCCATCTCCACTTTCCTGAAAACAGACTTGGGAGTTCCAGGCGGAGGGCGATTCGCCCAAGGTCACACGGAGGGCAGGCGGGAGCACAGGTTATCTAAGCCCCCAGGAGGCTGCAAGAGGGCTGCACCAGGCGCCGGGCCCAAGTCCCACCTGCTTGTTGATCGCAGTTGTCATGGCAGCGGCTCTTGTCCCCGCCTTGTCGTTGTGACGTAAGGAAACCAGCGTTCAATGGGAAAGCAGATCTGCGTCACGCTCCGCCTTTTCCCGGCGGGCACCGCCTTCGCCGCCTACAGTGAAGCGAGGACCGTGCGGGGCGAGCGGGCCGGCGCTCCAGCCTCGGCTGCGGCGAGTTACAGCGTTTCCAATCTGTCCGCGTCCGCCGCCTGAGCCGGAGCCGGGATGTTCAGGATGCTGAGCAGCGGTTTTGAGGATGATCCCTTCTTCTCGTGAGTGTCAGGGATCGTAGCCCGCGATCCCGCGGGAATTTAGGGATTTTCGAGGGGGGCTATTTTAAGGGGAAAGAGCGTTTTAGAGAGTGAGAGGTTTTTCGGAGGGTTTCAGGAAGAGGAAGAGACTTGAGGAAGAGGAGGGCTAGGGGAGAGGAGGATATGGGGGCTCAGTGAAGAAGGAGGGTTTGGGGCCCTGGGGTAAAATTAGAAGGATTTGGGGGGCGAGATGGGAAAGGACTTGGGGACATGGCAGAGGGGACGAGTAGGATTGGGGGCGCTTGAGGAGAGGTCCGAGCAGCCCTCCCCTGCTCAGCCCCCGACCCGAGGAGCCCTCCCCTGTCCCCCCTCCCCTGTCACCCCGCCCCAAGCTGCTCTCAACTTGGCCGGACCTCTTGCGCCCGCTTTGCTTCCCGCCTTCGGAGTGACGCCTTCGCAGCTGCAAGGACTTTGCAGGTGACGGTAACTGCCACCTCGGTGAAACTTCTGGTGAGAATTTTTGCATGCTCACAGGATCCTTTCCACACACACCTGTTTTAGTTCCAAATATGGGGTGAGGAATGCCCTTTAGGATTACAATTCTTTGTAAAGGGAAAAGTTTTTAAAACCACATTTTTAATAATATATGTCTGTATGCGAGCACAATAAAGTTGGAGAACTGTGCTGTCTCCTCCAAGGGCTGGGCAGTTGCCATGTGCAATGTTTGTTTTCTTTCCTCGCTCTGTTACAAAGCTAGCCTTGTTTGGGAAGGGACTCTGCTTTCTGCGAGAAGTACAAATAGGTCAGCGAAGCAGGGAGAGGGTGCATTTAAGACCTCGGGTAACAAGTGCCAACCCTGTGAACGGTTCCAAGTGAGAGAAATAATGTGATGCCTTAGGAAGATGATACTCAGAAGTTAGTTACTTGTTTCGTTATGATCTAGATTTCTGGCTTGTTTATTTTTAATTCCCCCTTTGGTGATTATATAAAAGTAATGATCTACTGGCATTTCTGAAGACAGGAAGATTTGTGATACTTTTGCCCAAATGTTTTGTCAGTTTGAATTTTGACTAGGTGTCCTAATTTAATTTGGTAGCTTAAATTCTCTCTCTAGGCAACTTAGGGATTTTCTTTTTAAGGTTAAAATGTTAACAACTTACTACATAATTTTTTTTCAAGTAAAATACTGACTTAAATGTGTCAATACCATTTTAAAACCAAATAACATCAGGATAATAATTGAAAGAACAATTTAAAAGTAGAATAGATGAAATTGTTAATAAGGAAAGTAATAATATATTATTTTAAAAGTTATTCATTATAATTAATGTGTATATGGACTCAAGCCAAGTATTTATGCTGTTTTAGTTCATTTGATTACAGTCTGTTGGGACATTTACAATCAGTGTGTCATTTTAACAAATTTCAAATTTTGTGTTTTGATTTGCACTTGTAAAAGCCTCTGAGAGTAGGGACTAAATATATCCATGGATTAGTTGAGCTGTAGGCGTGGTTCTTATGTAATTGTGACAGTAGTACTATGCGTTAAGAAGATTATGATGGACACCTTTTCTGTTTTATGTCCTTGATTATATCAAAAAGAACAATGGCCTTAACTGAACTATGAATGTATAATTAGTACCTTCTTTAAAATGTCTAGCAAAAGTGTAATTTAAACTCTTGGGTGACTCTTTTTGAGCAAAGGCAATGAACCCAAGAGTCAGGGTCAGAAATAGTAACAGACCACAAATAGAAGGCACGCACCGAAGAACACTCTCCCCCTGAGCTCAGCTTGGGCAGAACCATCAGTTACTAGGCCGTAGGTCTTTCAATCATCACTCTCTGTAGCCTTCCCTCTTCAAGTGTAGGGAGCTATCTCATAAAAATTTAGGTTACAGTTATTGTAATTAATTTTATAAAACTGATTCATAGTTATAATTTTGTTGCTCCACAATTAATGATATAGAGAGTAAACATACTTTGGGGAGGTTAGAGAGGAAAAAAAGGTGAGTTTATAGTTATTTCAAGTGATAATCATTTGACACATCCCTTGCACCCCAACCTCAAACAAAATGATTTTACATTACTTAAGTCTAGCATAAGAAATTTACCCCATGTCTTATACAAACATTATCCCTATTGCTGACATTATGTGTCTGGTCATTGGGCTCTTTAGTGTGGGTCGTTTAATGTCTGACATGTGGAAAGTATTCAATAAATATTGTGTAATAATAATCTGGTGTCATTTACTTTCTGTCTTCTAGTTAATCTGCTATTTATTGCTGAAAGTGATTATTTGCATTCAACAGATGCCACTGTGGATGTTGGCACTTCCTAATCAGAACACAACCATTTTCTAAATAACCCATCAGTTCATAGTCAAGGATATCAATATAAGTAATACTGTATCACTTTACTAGTTATTCAAAAGTGAGATGAAAAATACATACTTCTTAGATGTAACATTAGAATTGTTTAATAATTTGAGACTGGTGAAATACTGTGGTCAAATTGTCAAATGCTTAAAATATCTGAATGAAAAAAACAAACTGTGCTTTTGAATTCAAATATATCCATTTTAAAGATTTACCTCCACATAATAACATATATTAAATGTTTCATCAGAAAATTAAAGAGAAACTTTAAAGGAGATATTTTAAAGTTTGTTTTATTATATATTTGGGGCTTTTTATATTGGCATCTTTTTATGTTTCTGAGCTGAAATTATTTCAGTGAAAATTGACCCATGGCACACCTTTATATATACCTTGTAAATAAATAAGACTTATAATCTGGTTAAAAATACAAAGGCTAAAAAAAATGCTCTGGTACTTCCTGGCATGCAGTTTTCATTCAAGAATACTACTTCCCCCTCCCGTTAGAAGTAAAAGTATGTATGTATAGGCAGGAAAATTTATTTGAGGTTGAAGTGATTTTGGTATCTATCCTAAACCCTAAAAGAGTTGATTATTTACTGTAAAAGTTTACATATATCTAGAACAACCTGTAAATTTCTACTTTGTACAGAAACATGAGTCTTCTGAGCTACAGACATGGAATTCCAATCGGAGAAGTCCACAAAAAACACCTACATTACCACTTACAAGCTATTAGACATTAAAGGCTCAGAAGCAATCATAAATCCTTATATGTCTTGGTCAAAGAACTGCATACATTCGTAGGAGGCTGCTTTTTCCATCCATAGAAGCTATAACTTTTTTCTCTAAAATCTGTTTAATTTTTGTTTAAAAAGGAAAGGAATTATTTTTTTAAAAGTTATACAGACTTAGAGTAATGACTTCATGTTTTCATTAAAATACTAAAGTTCTTTAGAATAGCCACAGATGCCCACAGTCCTTCCTTCTCCCCCTGCCCAGTCCTGGGTACCATATCTCAGGAAAAGAAGCAGAAGTCTGTGACTCAGGTTCCTGGCACCATCAGCTGTGTTGCCGCTGTGACTTCCAGTTAATCCCAAACCATGTGGCACCTTCTCGTGGCCGCCAGCAAGAGTCCTTTCACCCCTTTTCTCTATTTAATTTTTTTAAATTTTTACTTACTTTGCACTTTGGATGTACTTATTTTACACTTCTTTGGCATATTCACTGACTGAGTTGAAAGTAACTATATTCCATGTACAAGGAAGGTATTGACTGATATTTTCTTGGTTGAGAATATTGTCATAGCAGGAAATGACAAAATTACTCTATTAGATAAGTTTTTGTGAACAGTGTTTGACTTACTTACATATTTGTTTTCAGACACAAACATAGTTTGAGGTAGGGTCTCCATTAAGATGATTTAGTTTGGTGCTAATTAGTATTCTAATTATAACCACTTAATAAAGGTAGCTTGAGATTACTCAGCTCAAATTTAAACTTTTGATTTTCAGGATCTTTTTTATGCTATGACTCCTGACAGCTACTGTGAGTTTTAGCACTTAAAATTTTGTTCTCTGAAATATAGATATAGATACTATATAGATACTTCTTATAAATGAACTTTGCATATTTCAGAATATCATATATGATAGAATGAAGCACTATAAACCTTGAACTGAAAGATTTTCTAAGATAGATTTGATTTGGGGCAGTTTTGGGTAATGAAGGAGCACAGCATACTGGTGACATAGTTGCTGGGTCAGGGAGTGCCATTGGATGGTTTCTCATCATGTCATAATGCTTAGTTCTATCAATAAACATGAATATCCACACAAAGGTAGGAGACACTTGCAGGATGGGAGGGGGCCGCAGTCATTCCTACAGCTGTCTTAGCATCAAAGGTTTATGCCAGACCGCCATTTTAAACTGTGCTTCTACTCACTGGGAAAACGGAATTGCCTGTAGCAATGTAATTTATTCTTCACTTATTACTTAGGTTTCCACCATATGCTCAGCCCTCTGGACTCTAACATATATTTGTAGTAGTTATGGCCCGTACCCTCAAGATTTTCTTAGGAATCTTATATGTGTTATTTCTAGCTTCAAAACTTGAATCACCAGAGGCATTTTCTTTATGGACCCATACACCTCATTGAAATTAGGCAGCATTTCGTAAGGATCAAGAGAACCTTAACAATCTGCTGGCTAAGCTTTTGCTACACTATGGATAGTGAACAGAAGGAAGGAGTGCTCCCTGATGCATGGGATTGCCACGTCAGTCTGAGACCCTTATGTAATAAGTAATGTGATGGTTTTACTTAAGAGCATAAATATCTGTATTCTTGTACAGGCCAAGTGAAATCGTAAGCTGTCCCTGCCAAATATATCTGCGCATGTAGATACATAGATATGTGTATATGTTTAAAAATAGGACTTATCCTGAAGTGAAACTATACCAGCCCTTAAAATTTTTTTATTTTGAAATTCCTAAGAGACCCAGAATCAATTTAAGAGTTAAAATTTTTTGTGGGGGGAAGGAACAATAATTAATTTTTCCTAGCTTGTCATGGATTAATAATATGGAGTAGAAAACTATATTTAGTACCAAATGTCATTACGTTTTGTTATGGTTTGTGTCAGTGGTTTTGCAAAAGGTAGTGTGGCCATCATAATAGTATAAGTAAATTTTTCTTGAAAGCATGAAACACTAATTTACAAAAGAGAACAATATGAATAGATAGAAACATATAAAATGATAGACTTCTCACCCAATTCACTCTGTATTAGGTTAAATTAAAAACATTAAAACAGCTGTTTACTACCACAAGAGATTTTGGGCTTTGATGAAAAAGAATTCAGGCTAGAACAAGAGAAATCATAGTCTTTTCTCCAAGCTGTTGCTGTTCTAGGTAGACAGGACTTGAAGTTACTTAAGGGTCCATCCAGCCAGATTTCTTCCTGAATGGCTCCGACAGGTGCAAAAGCCAGGCTGTAAGCTCACTTTTATATTAATGCTTTTTCCAACAGGCAGCCTCTTGTTCATGTCACTCAGAAAATAAAGATTTTTTTAGCATTTGCCATACATATAAATATACCTACTCCTGTTCAATTAAAGAGAAACCTGGGGAACAT